CCCACACCAGAGTGTGTCATGAATGGCGATATATTTAGACCATAGCATCAGCATTACATATCTGAATGCTCAAATGATGAAAGGAAGGCACAACAACACTTCCTAAACTTCAAAACAAAGCCCAATAAATCCAAAACATGAGCCACTCTCAGCTGACTGGTTGCTCCCTCTTCAAAAGCAGAATAAAATGGCACATTCGGAATTAGGCAACAACGTGGGGGGGTGGGGGGTCAACAACATGCCCATCTGGATGCATCTTTCTCAGGACTCCATGCTCCTGGCAAACAGCATTCAAAGTTAGCATAACAGGAGAAAGACATCTTTTTTTTTTTTTTTGAACTAGGCAAACTACTCATGTTTACAATGTTACGGTAACTTAGTCCGCCGTCCTGCAATAATAAGCATACCATGTTTGTAGGCGTGCAAACTGATAAAATAGAATTTATTATGAACTAAAGGGAAGCGTGTAAAAGCCAGGATGAGCACTTAGCCACCTCAGCTCATCTGAATATAGTCAAGGTTGGGTGAAACTCATTATTCAGGACTCGCAGCCTTGATAACTTTGATTTTCATCCATCCATAGCATGGCCAAAAGGTACCATTTAATGAAGTACCATTCAGAGAGTAAATGGGGTCATATAATAGACAGTGCGGTTGCACCTTGTGTTCATGTACTGATAGCTGTTAAGGGTGCAGTGATGAACCAACAGAGCTCATTTCTCCTTGGTAATAAATTCATGCTATTAATATTTATCAAATGTGTGGGCCGTCTCAACTGAGCCACGGCACATGAGACCATAAATCTCTACTATCATATCAATTTTGAAGCTTCTTTGTACAGTGTATAAATTTTAGGGTCTTTTTTGGGGAGGGTGTGGGCATTGGCCACCCTTCTCTCATACCAACGGGAGGCCAGGAGTGCAGCTCCCCCACTTCAGCTATCGTTAGATCCAAAGGGAACTTTAAACTGTGGTTTCATTTTAAATCGCTCATCTAAGATTCTGTATTAATTGCCCACCATCAAACGCAATTAGCAATTCTTTCATGTGTGGTTTATGTAATGTAATACTTCAATTACATTATTCATTCAGGTTCTGTTTTGGATTATAGGCTGAAAATTCTTTATTAGTGTAGATGTAACCATGCTGCTGGAGTTTTAAAAAATTTACTGATTGAATAATTAATTGGAAAAGAACAAGCGGCAGATTCCTGATGGATTTATGAGACAATTATTCTCTCTTGTGATTATCTACATTATACTATAGAAGCAGTGAGAGAAAAATATCTTATTGAAAAGATAGTCATAAACATGGGATCGAAATGATCTCAGAATTGAAGAAAAAAAAATTCAACATGTGAGAGTTAAAAAATGTTGCACGTCAGATTCAGTACACGTCTCCTTTCTCCCTATTAAAAATCTGTTTAGCGCACCCTGCATTTAAATGTAATACAAAGGAAAAGCCTTACTGTCTTAGCAGAAATGTTGCACAGTTAAATAGAGTCCTAGAGCTGAAAAGGATCACTTTGAAAATATACTAATTGATCAGTGATGTCAGAAACACTAGGACAAAAATCAGATATGAATATCTTCCCATGCTTGAAAATGATAATTTGTTTTCTACCTAAAAATAAAAAAAACAAACAAAAATCAGAGCAAGAGGCACAGCCTGCAATTACTCAACACCAGGCGACTCAGAGGTCTTATTAAAAAGTGTCCCACACACTTTTATTAAACTAGACCTACCCGTTGATTTCTAAAAGTTTCTGTGCAAACATTAACTGAGTGAGATCAGAGGTACATTCATTTGTTATAATCTGTGTATCTGAGACCATTTTCAGCTTGAGCTTAAATCTCATATGCTTTTGAGGGAAACTACCATTTTTATTTTCCATAATCACCCATTCCCCTCTGTGATCAGCTCTCTACATTGACATTTTATGAGTAATATATACTATACCACATATCAGCATATGAAAAACATCTTAACGGCAGACAACCAAAGGAATATGACAAAATTGGTTATAAAATATTGCAACATTTTTGACAAAATATACCCCAAACAGCGATTTCTATGTATCATATGATTGATTTCAGTCCTCCTTGGCATACCACGCACCTTTCTATTTGTGATTTCTACTGTGTCTGCCTTTCTGGTTGCACAGAGTGGGCTTCCTTTTAATATCTGTAAACCTATCACCGAAAGATATTCTCTCTGGCTTCAGCCCCAAGGCGGTGATTTCTGCACTGATAGGTGTACTTTGTTTAGTGTCACCCGTGGTGTAGATTGGATAGATTTTGTAAAAGATAGCATTACTTTAAAAGAAACATACAATTTGAGGAGCGATTACATTTTACTTTCATTTTATTGCCATATTTTTCATCACACTCATTGTTTTCTAACTGTCACTAAATTGTTCCTTCTCTTAGTCTGTTACATCGGCAGACCTATTTACTGTTTATAAAAGCAATATGCACTTACAGGTTTGGGAGATGGTTTGGGCTCTGAGGGTCGCATGTGCAAGTGGGTCATCATTGCTTGAAGACGCTCGCGTTCTTTAGAAAGCTGTTAAGAAAGAGTGAGCTCAGAAGCGTTTTCGAAATGACTGATATAGCTATTTTACTGCAGTGATACATCTTATCACCGAGCTTATCTCAGAGTAATGAGGCCTGCATATCGAAGTCCAGGCCAGTGGGAACTTCCCTGGGAGAAAAGCAACTTTCGTGATGGACGGGGGTGCGGCTGGAAACTTTTATGGTGTTCCTTATGTTAAAGGGTCAGAGAAAACAAATAACACTTCATCTTTTTGTCAATAAGAGAATTGAGGTCACCATTGCCCAGACAGGAACAAGTTACTGAGACCATAAATTAGAAGGCCCACGGTGTCTCTTTAAAGTCCTGTGGACACTGTTAGCAGTGGACCGGTGCCAACAGCTGTGAAGGGGTGAAGGGTTCTCAAAGCGAAGTGCCTGCCAGGATTGTCTACACACTTCATGCTTCCCCACCGAGGTCCAGTTAGTGCCCCCTGCAATCTGCCATCATCAATCTAATTCAGTAGAGTGACAGAGACCAGGCAGTGTGAAACGGTGAACTCTGCCACGGGCTCCACATCCACACTTGCACTGGGTCTCATTACGACTGACGGACCTTACTTTTCCATCAGGCAGACACGGCAGACAAAAAAAGGAGAAGAAGAAGAAAAAAAGAGGCCTAATTGGTCACACTGCAGACTGCATCATCAGCTGAACGCCCGCCCTCCCTCCCTCCCGCATTAGCCTACCTTTGATAAATGGTAAACAGATTGTCGACGAAGAGCGTTTTCCACTAGCAAAGGGATGATGCTTTCTAGCTGTGCTTTGATTATGTTACAGGTGAAAACATTTCTAGTTGCTTCCAGGGGAAACATAAGGCCTGGCATGACAAATTTAAAATGTGGCAAACTGTGAAGAAAATGCCACTGAATGCTTACCATCAACATCTTACTTTGAGAAAAACAGAAGCTTTAAAAAGGTAGTACAAATCATATGAAAAGAGTGATACTTTGAATGCTATAAATGCTTTTGCATTCATTTTATGAATTCCCGTTGTTTGGGGCCAAATTCCTTTGGAGATGTTTACAGAACTGTTCCTGGAAAAAAATCTAATCGGCAGCGTTTGATATCTCACTTTCATTACTATCTGTGACCCTACAACTTGGCATTAATCCAATTAAAAGACAAGCATTAGGAATCCTTGCAAGTTCCATTTTAATTAAACATATATACACTGGAAGCAGAAAGGGAAAAGTTTTGTTTTGTTCTTATTTTTCCCCAGGGTGTTATGTTACAAGCAAGTAATGCATTATACAGATTGGCCTTTTCCTATACTACCAAGCCTCATGGGAAAAATCAAGATCAGTTCATGTAAAAACTGTCTCTTTCATCCAATCATATCTAATTGGTCTATCCTATGTTGGGAAAACTTGGACTGGGCTGCTTGGAAAACTAAATCTATAAGATGTCGAATAAAGGTCCCATAAATCTAAATGATACGTGTATTCACCTATAGTAGCCCAATTCAGAGTTGTCAATTATCACCCTGGCTAAAAGCAATCTAAAATTTCCATGAGTCATTTTGTTACTGAGACAATGAAGCAGGTTAAAAGGCCCAGAGTCTGCCTAGTACTAAATTGAACCCACCAGAAACCTCGGAGTCCATTCAGGGAGTATTTGACAAACCTGTATTTCTAACTGCTGAACCACCTGCATTTGCACTCGACACTGGGCAGTGCTTCTGTCGTCCAACGCATGCTCATTGTTAAGGTGCCTGAAACGAAACCCAAGCACACAGGAGAATGCTAAGCAACGCTTCTCAATGGCACGAGGCCCACTTAAGCAGCACAACACTCAAGTCATACGGACTTCTTCGAAACAGAGAAAGAAGAGAAGCAGGGATGCCTGACACCAGGTGAGTAACATTAGATATGCTGACACATGTATTGAAGATCATTTATGTAATATAATCAGAAGCTTCCAGTGACAAAATGTGTCATTGTCTCTAAGCATATCGGTTATACCCCAACATATTTTCCCCAACCATTTACAGAGTCATAGTGAAATCACTAGATCTATTTCATACATGCATGTCATTTTTTTAAAAGGACACCATATAAACATGTAAACCAAAAGTAAATCTGAAAAGAAGAAAGGCAATTCTTGATTCCATTTCTGTTAAAACAGTCTGTGGTCCCTGTGATGTTATTTAGTGAGGGATATCTAATTTCAACAGCATGGGGTGTAAATTATGTAGAGATGGCCAGCTATCATCCGATAGAGGCACCAACACCCCTGAAGAATGACCACTTGAGGTTCCTAACAAGTAAATTGCACCGAAGATTTTGGAAATCAAAACCTAAAGATCTTTTGTATTCAAATGTTCTAGTTTGTGAAAAAAGGTTATACAACATGATAACAGATCAAAATTCTAATTATTTTTTGTCTACTATGATTATACAGAGATGCC